TTACTTCGCTTGGCCGAAAGTGGTGAACTGCCGAATATGGTTTTCTTCGAGGAGAAAACATTCGTTGTCCAGCAGTTTGTCAAAGAGGTCAGCTGAAAATGTGCACCTTCGGTTGGCCACCAGAACTCAAGCGCCGGCCATGGTAATGGTGTGGGCCGCCATAATAGCCGATGGTCGCTCTCCGCTCGTATTAATCGACCGTGGTATCAGAATAAATGCCGAAATATTATCCCGAAAATATTCTGGAGGCTGTAATAAAGCCTTGGGCATGAAAACATTTTGGCCGCAGACCTTGGACATTCCAACAGGACTCAGCGCCATGGCACTCAGTATGCGCCACCCAAGAATGGTTACAAAACGAGGTTCCTCGCTTCATTTCCAGCGCACAAAGGCCACCAAAATCTCCGGATACCAATCCGTTGGACTATTGTGTCTGGAGTATTTTGGAAAGCAAGGTTGACACTAAAAAATATCAAAGTGTCGATCACTTCAAGCGCTTCGCCGGGCCAAAATACCGCAGAGCAACATTCGGACAGCGTTTGACGACTTCATTGGCCATAATTCGTGCCAAAGGTGACCAATTCGAACAAATCTAAACTTATTCTAAAATTTGATATTTTTTCCGAAATTTTTTGCTTTCATTCAATAAAATAAAAAAATTAAACATTTTGGCGTTTGACTTTGTTGCAGTTTCTTTATCTCACCTTGTAGAAGGCATCATAAATGTTTTCACTGTACAGAATACCATTTAATAGCCTTCTATATCCAAGAGGCCACTTAAAGGTCTTCTAGCCGGAAAGTATCTCATAAGGTTTTCTGCTTAAAGAAAACATGTTGAAGAAGTATTTAGAAGACCTCTCTCAGAACTTCGGTCGATAACATACATCTCATACCTTTCCGATCCGAAAGGAATCTATTAAAGTTTTTCTATCTAAAAGATCTCACACAGTTATTGTATCAAGAGATATTTTCTAAAAAGTCTTCTTCACAGAAATAGACTCCGATCTTAAGAGACCACTTTTAGAAATTTTCTCTTTTGAAGAACTCTAAAGCTCTTCCCTTTATAGAACACCAGCTAGAAATCTTGTCTCCATAGAAAACTTTTTAAAGGTGTTCCATCAAGAAGAGGAGACCGTTCGCAGGTATTCGTCCTATATAAAAACCCCTTAAAGTTCTTCGGTCTAAGAACTCCTCTGAGAGGTCTACAGCCTTTTGAAGACTTCTTGAAGGAATACTATCTTGATCTCTAATAGTGTTTTCGATAAACATAAGACCTAAATATTGCTCGGCCTATAAAATTTCTCTTAAGGTTTTGTCAGTCGATTAAAAGATCCCTTAGATCTGGATATTTATATATATTTTGTATATATATATATATTTTAATCTAATCTATAGAAAACCTTTGAAAAATGCCTCTTAAATGCCTTCTATTATGAGAAGACCTCTTTAGGATATATAAAAGACTTTATTTATTTTACAGAAGACCCTTTCAGGGTTTCCATATAGAAAAAGCGTGACAAAAGATACTCAATTAAAAGAAGGTCTCTAAAGGAGTATTTTATTTGCAATTTTTCATTGTGTAGAAGACCTTCTAAATGTCTCGAAATATACATTTTAGACCCCACAAAGTATATATATATTCTTGATCAGCTTAAAATTCTTTGTCGATTTAGTGATGTCCTTTCGTCACTCTAACTTCCAAACGAAATTAAGTAGGTTGATAAAATTTTACTCAAATGTATATTGTGTCTGCAGGACTCTTGGTTCTGAAAATGGACCATGTAGGTCCACGTTTTGTTATGGCCCCCATATAATTGTACCTCCCTATTTTCGGTATTTTGATGATTTTTGTGACATTATTCAACGGATATGTTTCAAATTTCGTATTTGAAGTTCGTAATAAATACTACAGTCTATGACAAAAATTGTCTGTGCAGGTCCACGTCTTCGTATAGGCCCCATATAAAAGAAGCTCCCGATATTCGGAACTTTGATGATTTTAACGACATTATTCACCGGAATTGTTTCAATCTTGGCATTTGAAGTTCGTAATGGATACTACAGCCTAAGACAGAAAATTGTCGGTGCAGGTCCACGTCTTCGTATATCATCCATATAACGGTACATCCCCATATTCGATATTTTGATGATTTTAGAAACATTATTCGCCGGGATTGTTTCAAATTTGAAGTTCGAGTGGATACTACAGCCTAAGACAGAAAATTGTCTGTGCAGGTCCACGTCTTCGTATAGACCCCCCCGACCACCCCATGTATTTCGGTATTTCGGTGATTTCAGCGAATTGTTTTAAATTTGGTATTTTAAGTTTGTAATGGATACTACAGCCTAAGACAGAAAATTGTCTATGCAGATCCAGGTCTTCGTATAGACCCAATATAAAGGTGCCTCCCGATATTTGGTATTTTGATGATTTTAGCGACATTATTCACCGGAATTGCTTCAAATTTGATATTTGTGTCTATGCAGGTCCAGGTCTTCTTATGGGCCCCATATATCAGTACCTCCCTATATTCGGTGTTTTGATGATTTTAGGGACATTATATTGTAATGGCCTATGACATAAGTTGCCTATGCAGGTCCACGTCTTCGCATAGACCCTAATATAAAGGCTACATTCGGCATTTGTAAGATTTTAAGAGAATTGTTAACTAATTTTATTTTTATTTATTTATTTATTTTAATTTTTTTTATTTATTTATTTATTTATTATTTTTTTTTTTTTTTTTTTGAAAAATTGTCAAATTCGTTCCAAATGGTGGAGTGTATTTAAAATTCAGCCCGGCCTGCTTTTCTACTTGTTACTAGTTCTTAACTCCAATAGTTGTTTCCACATTTTTAATTACTTCAAAGGTCCCTAACTTAGATGATTTCACCTTACAGCCCCTTTCTTCAGACCTCTATTCATTATATATTTTTGTGCCCACGCAATGGCAGCCTCCGCTTTGTCTGTGATCTCATTGATACGCCCCTCGAGCAACTGATTTTTGAAATTATTGTCTTTGGAAATAATGGCTTACGATGCTGCTCCATAAGTTTTCATTATTTTGTCATGAGATTGAAGATCTTTCTCTTACTCCCTAATAATGGGTTAGGAAGCTCTTTTGTAAATAGTTACACATATAAAACCATTGTTTCATCATGAGTTTCCCTTTTCTGGAATAGAACACCTCTTGAGAGTTTTCTGCTTTTCAAAGACTGGTTGAAAGACTTCTGTCTATGGAAGATATCTTTCCAAAGAAGACCTTTTAATTCTCTCTTCTGCGATAGAACACCTCTTGAGAGTTTTCCCCTTTTCAAAGACTGGTTGAAAGTCTTCAGTCTATGGGAGATTTCTTTCCAAAGAAGACCTCTTAATAAGTCATCTCTATATAGGCTACTTTTTGGGGAAACCTCCTCTTCCTCTAAGCCTATCAGACATCCCCCTCAATCATTTTTCATAAATTAAAACATTATATTTTGCCTCTAAGCCAATAACTCAACCACAATTTCTAATAAAATAATTAATGGAAAATAAATTGTTAAACTAGCTATCAATAAAACAATGATTTCTTTATGGCGATATTGATATGTTTACAGCGGCAGAAGCAGCAGAACAATGGAGGAAAAAAACAGAACGACTAACGATGGCTGCATGATATATGGGAGAAAATCGAAAAGGAGGCACATTTTACGCGCCAACAATCGATTCAAACAATTCATGGCATGGCTAGACCAAGTAAGGAGCCATAGATGGGATCCATGGATGGATGAATCAATGGCTGGCTGGCTGGTTGGGTTGCTGGCAAATGGTGAATATGTTTCTTTTCTTTTTTTATTTTGCCATTCCAGAATTTCTGAAATCAACAATGTGAATCAAATGGCTTTACTGGAATGGTTTCTAACAACAGCAGAAGAAAGAAAGAAAGAAGCAAAATAAATATAGCTGCAATTTATTTTTTTCTTCCTTTTTCCATGGCAATGATGTTTGTATTTGGAGATGATATCAAAGAAATGAACTATTTATAAGAGAAGAAAAAATAAACGAAACCAAAAATACTGGAGCACCTCTGGCCCCCAGTTCTATGCGACAGTCATGAAATGCATCACTGACGACGACGAAGACGACAATGTAAAACCTAAAATGGAAATGCTCCACATGTTCATACCATCAGCAAATAAACTGGGTGTGTTTGGCTTGCCTGTTTTTAGAAGATTTGAAAACCAAGATAAATGTTTTATGGGAAGATGTATGGCATTGCCAGCATTCATTTCCAGTTTCAGTTTCATTTTTCAATTCTATTCAAGAATAGAATAATTTTATTTTCTCCTATTTTTTTGCAAAATCTCAAAATAAATGGCTAAATGATATCGAATGGAAGGGAAAAAGTTCCAAATCTGATTAAGATTTATATTGTCTGCAAGAGCAATGTCAAGGTGGGGCAGGTTAAACATTCATCACCACAAATGGAACAAAAAAAGAGAAAGGAGCAAAAAAAGATTTTACATTTTTTAAAGATCTCTAGATTTCAGAATTTGATTACAGAATGAAAACCCCAATTACTTAGCCTATGTCGTATTAAAACAAGCCACAAGAAAATAATTAAAAAATGGCCGAGACAACACCTTTTGCCAGCAAATGACCCCATCCTTCATTAAACAGTAGCACCGAATTATAGCCACTAAATTCAGCTTACAGCCAATTAAATGTATGCTCATCACACACACACACACACACACACTAAGTAGCAATGACCATTTAAGCCATAAAACACAAAGTCTCAAACTCCCACACCCACTCCCATGGCTGACCACCTCCTCTGCCCAAATTTTGGGCTCCTCTCGTTTTTTAGGCTTCCTTAATTTAAAAGCCTATCCGATTTCCCTGGCAAAGGTGTGCCACCAAAGCACACAGAGCCAAAATAACTTATGGCAAATATCAAATTACGGACGGTAGTAATTTACGCTAAATAATCAACTAATTACACCAATATTTTACATACCTATATTGCTGTGGTCCTCCTCCGGCAAAGACGTCTCACATACATGATGGTAAGAGAACGAAATTCCTTAGGTGATTTAATCGATTGTATGGAGGTGCGTTCGTTTTGAAACCGGATAAATTTTGTTCTGAAATGAAAATGAAAATAAATTAATTAGAAAAATTATAAATTAAAGCATACATTACGGATAATGGAGAAAGTATAGCATACAAAGAGGTATAGAAGAATAACCAATTGTTCTCTAAACCCAGCAAAAAAAAAAAATTATTACCAACTAATGAGGGTCCTTAAAAGTCTTATTTGCTTGGAATATCTTTAAAGAGGATTCGTCTCCATTCGGACCTTTTCTCCTTACCCTGCAAACAAATTTCATTACCAAATAATGGATTTATTAAGTATATCCCAGGAAAATCTTCCATAACCAAATAATGGGATTTCTAATCAACGTTTGACAATCGTAAATACTTCCAATCAGCCTACTAAACTATTATTTCTACAAAATCATGTCGCACGAAATATGTCGTTATTTTTTGGCCACTAAAAATCGATAAATAAGTTATAAAATACATTTTTAGGATTAATGTTCCAGATTCCTTTATTTGGGCAATCGTAACTACTTACAGATCAGTGTACTAACCCATATTTTTAATAACCTCCACCGTACAGAGTCTAAAATTTTTTGAATGACGAACTAATCATCATCGAAATAATAATGTTAGACCCAACAAAGTATACAGGGTGAGATAAAAAGAAAACTGCAACAATGTCAAACACCATGATTTTTACATTTTTTTTTAATTTTATTGAATGAAAACAAAATATGTCGGAAATATCATCAAATTTTAGAAAAAGATTGGATTTGTTCGAATTGGTCACCTTTGGTACATACAATGGCCTCCAAATGCCCAATGAAACCGTCACACGCTGCCCGAATGTTGCTCTGCGGTATTTTGGCCCATTCCCGGCGAAGCGCTTGTTTGAGGTGATTGACACTTTGGTACTTTTTAGTACCAACCTTGCTTTCGAAAATACTCCAGACCCAATGGTCCAACGGATTGGTATCCAGAGATTTTGGTGGCCATTGTGCACTGGAAATAAGGCGAGGAACCACATTTTGAAACCATTCTTGGGTGGCGCGTGCGGAGTGCGATTGTGCTGAGTCCTGTTGGAATGTCCAAAATGTTTGCGTGCCTAAGACTTTAATACACCCTCCACAATATTTTCGCGATAATATTCGGCATTTATTCTGATGTCACGGTCGATTAATACGAGCAGAGAGCGACCATCGGGTGTTATGGCGGCCCACACCATCACCATGGCCGGCGCTTGAGTTCTGGTGGTCAACCGAAGGTGCACATTCTACACATTCTCACTGATAAATGTAGTCTGCACTAAATGTTAGAAAATTTGGTATTGGGATGGAAAGGGATAAAGCTGATATTCTAAAGTTTGATACCGATGTCAATGTTGATTTCTAAGGCATACATATGGAGACGTTGAAATTTTATTGGACAGAAAAATTGGATGTGGGTCCAATTAGTTTTCGTTTGATAGGCGATCGACTGGGGAGATGATAGAAACTCCCTTCAAAACAGATGTGTCTTAAAAATGAGCGATATTTTTTCACCCACCAAGAGAATTCCACAGAGCATGGAAGCTATATGTGTTAAGGATATTCTCTACAGGAGCAACATATATTCTCAAGAAACTTCGACTTTTTCCTACAGGAAATCAACAGTTTATCTTTGATAGGGATTTTTTTCCAAGCAGAAACAATCAGCCGTCAGTAATTCGGAGATTGTTTTGTAGAAAATCACTTAATGCCGTTATGAATTGAAACTATCACTAGCCAGCGTCTGATTCACATATCGCATATCTTCAATCTGATTTATTGTGTTTTTCATTGCCTAATTTATGGCAATGTAATTAAATTGAAACTGAAGCATACGTCTAGGCGCAAATATGAAGGAAAATCCAATGATTCATCGTCTTTGTTGAGTCATGGAAAAAAATCTTGTAATAACAAAAAGGATTTGAGGGATTTCTTGTTAGTCATGGGAAATTCATGGAAAAATACAAACTTTTAAAGCGATTTTATTATCTCATAATTCTGAGAAGCCTTAAAAATACAAAAATATTTTTTTACCTAACTTATTGACAATGACAATATTTCACAATGAAATTAGATATTTGAAAGATGCATATGTAGTATTCCAAAGAGGCATGGATTTGAACGTAATAATTTCCCTAATGTGGACACCGTGCACATGAAGAACAAAGAAGGTTGAGATTATTTTATTCTTCTGGCTAATTTTTTTCCAAAGAAGATACATCTTTCAGTTATAAATCCGAGTCAACGGCTATTTAATCAGAAAAAATTAATGTTTTTAACAATTTCGATATTTTTTTTACAAAATCCTCCAAATAAATGACAACAAAATGTGAATCGGTTAGAAAAAATCGAATATTTGAAACCCAAAAGTGTTTTTCTATAAACATCAAAAAATCAACTTTTAATCTCCACTGCGTATATTTTCTTTAACCTTTTCGGTATATGTTTATACCCATTCAATTATACCCACAGCCATATGTGTAGTATATATCCAAATCCCTATATTTATACGACCAAAACGTGCCTCATCGAAATAACAATTTTCGACCCTAGGTATATTTGGAACAAATCCTTTTTAGGACATTTGGAGTCGGATTTAGCGATGTCCGTACGTCTGTCTGTCTATCTGGCTGGTGCACACGATAACTCTAGAAGGGAATATCCGATTTGGTCCAAACTTGGTACATCGTAAAATTATTATCAAACTTAGATCGAGTTCGGAGTTGGGCAAAATCGATTCACTCCATCTCGTACCTACCCCACAAAAGATCAAAATTTTCAAAGAAAATATTTTACTGCACCGAGAGAGGGAGGATAATTCGATTTTGCTCCAACTTGGCAAATCCTAATATTTGGATCAGCGAAAATTGACAATATCAGTTCTCTCCATCAAATGCCTTCTCCACAAAGGGTCAACATTTAGAATAAGTATAACTCATGTAAAATGTGATGCAAGAATCCGATTGTCTTCAAACTATACACATCACAATAATTTTTATTAACCCAAGATCTAATGGCATACATCGGTCCACTCCTTCTGGTACATGCCCCGCAAAGGCTATACATTTTGAATATCCATGAATTAACATCCGAATCCATTCAGACTTGGCACATCTCAATATTTTTATCAACACAAGGTCTTTTATAAAGATGGTAGAGATCGGACCATTCCTTCTGTTACCTCCCCCACTAAGGTTCAAAGTTTCGAATTACCAAAACTATTATTAAATCCAAAATAAGCATCCGGTTCTCTTCAAATTTCACACATTCCATTATTTCTACTAGCACAAGATCTGCTGTGAATATGAATATATATCGGTCCACTCCTTCTGGTACCTCCTTCACAAAGGGTCAACATTTTGAATATCTATGAAGCTCATAAGGCGCGAAATTAACATCCGATTCCGTACATGCTTGACAGATCTCAATATTTGTATCAACACAATATCTCTTATAATGATGGTAGATATCGCATCGTTTCTTCTGGTACCTCCCACAAAAATTTTAGAATTACAAAAACGATAATAAAATCCGAAATAATCATCCGGTTTTCTTCAAATTCCACACAGGCCATTATTTCTACCAAACACAAGATCTGCTGTGAAGATGGGATATATTGGTTCACTCCTTCTGCCACTTCCCCCACAAAGGTTTCAAAATTTTGAAAAACCAAACGCTCTTAAAACTCTTTATAAGCATCCAAATCTCTTCAAATTTCACACATCTAAACATTGTTGCTAACGGAAAATTTAGATAGATATCTGCCAACCCGTTCTGGTACCTCAACCACAAAGTCGGTGATTCTATACAACTTGATCCACTCATAAACAAATGTTGTTTTTATAAAGACAACAATAATGGGACTAAGCCTGTCTATTTTGCAACAACAACTTGCTATAATTAAATATTTTCCTTAGCCAGAAATCTGATGTGAATTTGTAATTTATCGGAATTTATGATTTCTTATAAAATTGGATATAAATCTTCGATTTCCTTTAAATTTTGCACATACCAATATTTTTATCTGTTGTAGATGAAGTGGTATATATCGGTCCGCTACATCTGGCTGGTACCCCACGCATATTTCCACATTTTCCAAAAATTTGCACATATCTCATATAAAGTATGGGAAGTAGATGATATAGTCCAAATATGGCACGTTGTAATATTTATATCAGACTTAGGTCAGATACGAATTTTACAATATAGACCAACTGTTCGGAAGTGTGAACTGTTTGTATAATCATAACTCAAAGCTGCGGGTATACATCTGTCGGTAAAACCTGACTGATACTATTTTACTTGTTTTTATAAACATCGGATAATCAACTTTTACTCTCCACTGCGTATCACTACTTTTTTCTACGAAATTTTCGGAGTATTTTTATAGTTTATTATTTAATTTTTTCAAAATTTATTGTCAAAATTTTAAATTATCTAAAATCCCCGCACAAATGACTCATTTCATTAATTTCATATTTCTTTCATAATGAATTCTCTAATATTTTTTAAGCATTCTTTTAGACAAGCTTCATAGCTTCTTTAATTCCATTTATCTCTTCTACTCCAAAACACCTGAAAAGAAGAAGAAGAAGAAAAAACAAAGAATTTGTTTATTTTGTTCTTAATTGTTTAGTGTCATTAACACCTTGGCAGCGGCGGTTAATTTGTTTATTTTGTTTTGATTTTCTTTTGAAGACGATTTCTTTTCAATGATTCTTTTGTTTGGAAGTCCCCCAGCTGAGGAAAAAACCCTAAAACTCAAACGATTGATGAGTAGGCCGGCCGTGCTGCCGTGTTCGGCAACATCATCTCTTCTTTTACAAGACCCCATTATTACATTTGGATTTTATTGGTTAGCTACTAAAAAGCTGGCTAACTGGCGGGTTACACGTGCCGCCGCCGCCTTGTAAATGCCGTATCTTAACTGTATTAGGATTCTTTGGAATTTGTTTTTTTGTTTGAGTTGAACTTCACTTCACATGATGGCTACAAAGAAGAAATAACAAAAAAAA